TGTTGTGTGTGTGAAATCAAAATCGAAGGCGTAAACATGCCAGTTTAGCATTTTAAATTTGCGTTCAGGCTAAAAGTGATTTTGCACTGCAAACGGTTTGGTTTAAGACCTATTGCTGCTCACCTGTGGGATATAATTCCGAAAAAGAAGCAAAGTGAAGCCTACTCTTAATCTCTTCCACCATTTTTCAGCTGTACCTTTCCAAAGGCAGTGTAGTGGGAGACGAAAGAAAGTTGGATGTGCCCCACTGCCGCACACCATGACCTTTCCTGAGCAGCCTATTGGAGCAACCCATTCTCTGCAGAGACTGGATAGTTTAAACCAGTTTGTTTAAATTCTGGTTTCTGGTGTGCCTCCTGTACTCACCAAGTTCTTACGATTTCTAGATTTAGACCACAGATGGAGAACTTGCAGCCTTCCGTGATATATAGGCTAACTCTAGGATATTGTAGAGTCAAAAAATATTCAGAAAAGGACAAAATGATCAAGGGGATGCAGCAATGAGGAAAGGCTGCAGATTTGGGGACTTTTTAGTTTGGAGGAAAGGTGAACAAGAGGTGAACGTTATGGAAGTTTCTAAAGGGCTCATCCACATTTATCTTTTGCCCTGCACTTTCTGGGCACAGCCCTGTGCTTTAAAGCACCGTGTCCAAGCACTTTTTATTTTATTGCTCTGGTGCTTCCTTTGTGAAAACCTGCTCTTTGATGGTGAATTGGAACAAATGGCAATTTGGGTTTTCAGCAGATGGCCAATCCAGCTATAAAGAGTAGTGATTTTGTAGGAAATGTGCTGCCCCCCCCAAAAAAGCAGCACTTGGACACAGCGCTCCCTTTAAAGTGTGTAGAAACACAGCACAAAAGGAAGTCTGGGTGAGCCGAAAATTATGCATGGCATGAATAAAGTAGATAAAGACCATTTTTGTCTCCCCCCGCTCTCTCATAAGTCTAGAACTTGCACATATTCAGTGAACCTGAATGCTGGAGGAATCAGGACAGATAAAAGGAAGTACTTCTTCACACAGTGCATAGTGAAACTATGGAACTCACTGCCACAGGAAGCAGTGATGGCCACCAACTTGGATGGCTTAAAAAGAAGATTGGACAAATTCATGGAGGTGAAGGAATGGGTTTCTGTGCAGTAAGTTTAAAACTGACTCAACCCCCCCCCTTTTCTTCTTTCTCCAAGAGAGCACTCTAAAATGCGTAAAACTTGAGCTGTTGAGCAAAAGCATAACAAGGACACAGCTGCATAAACAAGCTCTCTGCTTTATCAGTCACGGCAAGGGATGACCCTGGCTCTCTAGGGGAACAGAGAAAACACGTCAGTACCTTATCTTATGTGCTGACCACAAAACTCGCACAAACCGATATCCGGGGGAAACGCCAGAAGCGTGTTCCTGGAGATGATGACCTCTTCCTCCCAGATAAGAGTAGGAAGGAAGATCCTTTTATGGTCAGAAGTACAGGAAGGAAGATCCTTTTATGGTTGAGAATACAAGAGCAGGAACATATGTGATGTCAACCTACGTACATAGGGGAGGAGGGAGAGGGCGCCTGGAGGATATATATACTGCATGAAACTTCTCATTTCTTTGGACTTGCTGTGGACTTGATCACGCAAGTGCCTTCTGCTATCCGGAGAGCAGAATAAACTCTTTCTTTGAATCAACCTTGGTGTCATTTGACTTCCTTCCTCCTGTCCCGGAGCAACGCAGACCCAATCGGTGAACTCCAATAAGGCTACAGAGGAGAGGGCTCTCATTAGCTGCTAGCCATGACAGCCATGCTCTGCCTCCACTATTGGAGGCAGAATGCTTCTGAACACCAGTTGCTGCAAACTGCAGGAAGGACAGTACTGTTGTGCTCAGTTACTGTGCTTCTCATAAGGGGCATCTGGTTGGCCACTGTGAGAACAGGACTAGATGGGGCACTGGATTGCATTATGTTCTTATGTTCTCCAAAAAAAAAAATCACCTTCTTAGTGGACATTGAGAAATGGCTGATATTGTGCCTGGTCTTCAGTTTTGCAGCAAAAATATGTAACCTGCTGGGATTTTGTTTCCTGTATGAGTCTACTGCCTTTGCTGCTATTTTGAGATGACGTTATAGCTGTGATTCAGTAGCATATTATCACTGCTGTTTAGTGGCAGAAAGCTTTCTGTCTTTGCACCTATAATTTAACATTCCCTAGATTTGTCAGCCTATAATACAGCAGAGTGGGATGCGGGTGGCGCTGTGGGTAAAAGCCTCAGCGCCTAGGGCTTGTCGATCGAAAGGTCGGCAGTTCGAATCCCCGCGGCGGGGTGCGCTCCCGTCGCTCGGTCCCAGCGCCTGCCAACCTAGCAGTTCGAAAGCACCCCCGGGTGCAAGTAGATAAATAGGGACCGCTTACTGGCGGGAAGGTAAACGGCGTTTCCGTGTGCTGCGCTGGCTCGCCAGATGCAGCTTTGTCACGCTGGCCACGTGACCCGGAAGTGTCTCCGGACAGCGCTGGCCCCCGGCCTCTTTGAGTGAGATGGGCGCACAACCCTAGAGTCTGTCAAGACTGGCCCGTACGGGCAGGGGTACCTTTACTACAGCAGAGTAAGATGTTGATAGCAGTCAGACTTTCAACTGATACTTTCAAGCATTTTTGCTATGGATGTTGTTCGCAACTCATGTGAAAGACTGGTTGTGTATAATGGAAACTTAGACGAGGAAGGGAGGAATCAAAGTTCATCAGGTACAACAGACAAAGTCCCTTCGTTGCGTATACTGTATTTACGCGAATCTAATGTGCCCCTCGATGGGACGCGGGTGGCGCTGTGGGTAAAAGCCTCAGCGCCTAGGGCTTGCTGATCGAAAGGTTGGCGGTTCGAATCCCCGCAGCGGGGTGCGCTCCTGTTGTTCAGTCCCAGCGCCTGCCAACCTAGCAGTTCGAAAGCACTCCCGGGTGCAAGTAGATAAATAGGGACCGCTTACTAGCGGGAAGGTAAACGCCGTTTCCGTGTGCGGCTCTGGCTCGCCAGAGTAGCGATGTCACGTTGGCCACGTGACCCGGAAGTGTCTTTGGACAGTGTCCCCCGGCCTCTTGAGTGAGATGGGCGCACAACCCTAGAGTCTGTCAAGACTGGCCCGTACGGGCAGGGGTACCTTTACCTTTAATGTGCCCCTCAGTTTTCAAAACCTTGAAACCGATAAAGTATTTGATGGTGCATGTAAATGCGCCATCGTATCTAATGGCACCCTGATTTGGCAAAAAAGAGTGTGCATTACATTCACGTAAGTACAGTACTCAGGTGAAGCTATCAAGTGGTAAACTTTGCTGCCTGAAAACGGCACTCTCAGTTGACTGCGTGACTTAAACACATGATTGCAGACACACTTAGGCTTCGTTTTGGCTAGCTGTGAGAGGAGTGCTACTCTGATCGGTTGAGTGGATCTCATGGGTCTCTCTCAAAGAGATTCCCAGAAAACTGATCATTGCAGCTTCTCTCCCCCCCCCCGCCCCCAACCTCTCAGCTGTTAGTTTCCATTGCGCAAGGCAAGTGAGGAAAGGATACCGTGATTCATTTTTACACCTTCGTTGCTTTTCTGTAACATTTGTACCAGCCCTCATGTTAACGCTTGTTAGAAAGAATGCTATTAATAATTAGTAATAATTAGGCGGTTCTTGGAAAAGTCATCAGGTCAACATGGTAAGAACATTTTCTCAATTTGCAGCCCTGCCCCTCTGCATGTCTATTCAGAATCCAGAGCTACTGAGCTTATTAAGTAGTATGTGTATTTTAGATTACAGAATAGACTAAAAGTAGGATGGCAGAGTTTGAGTTTTTCTGTTTATTGCTGTAGCACACAACTATGGATTTTGGGAAGCATCCTGGGAAGCCAGGTACAGTATGTTTGCATAATTAATACAGGAAGCCATCCATGTGGCTCAAAGCTCATCATGCTTTTTCTCTGAGAGGCGGTGGTCATGTGGACTGGTAGGGGCAGACATTCCCTGCCTGTTTCTCTGTGCTCTGTTTCTGTGCTCTATAGCCGCAGAATCAACCCTGTGTAACTAGCTATCTAGGTGTGCTGTTTCAAGTAGTGTGAGGGGTTCTCGCAAAGTACGGTATATCATAGAACGTATCATTGATGGTCTGTGATACACTTTGTGGGCATCTTTTGTGCCAACTTCTAAATGCCTGCTGGAAACTTTTCTTTTCTGCCAGTCCTATGCCAGTCCTTCCACAATGGTTTAATGATATTTGTTTTTAAAGTTTTATGCTTTGCTTGCATGTTTTTTTTTACGTTTTTATTGCTGTAAACTGGTTTGAACTATTTTTACGCTGTAGCAGTATATAAACACCTCTTTTTATAAATAAATAATAAACAGGATACATTTTAGATAATGTTATATATATAAAGTTGTGTGTGGGTTTTTTTAAAGGTGGTACCGTAGGATTCTTGTTGCCTGTGATGAATATGTTTTATTTCCTCACTTCTTTGCCTTCTTTGGGCGTAGGAGAAGAGACTGTGATAAGGTATTAAGAGGCAGTGATAAGCTTTCCCCTAGGAAGGCTTTCCATTGATATTGTGTAGGCATAGTTGTGAAGCTCTCAATGCCTTATTTGAGCTGTACCTTGATTAGCATCAAGGTGAAAGTCGCTCCCCTTGCTCTTTAGAAATTATTGCTACTATGCAGCCTAACACAAGTAGAGCCATTATTGTGGTATTTACCTATTGGGCTAAAAGACTAGCTTAAGCAAATGACATGTATTTGATCTGACTAACTTCCTGCCTTCCATGCTGGGTGATTGATATAGAAATGCCTGCCAGGTGTCTTAAGCTGAAATCTTAGGCACATTTAACTGGGATAAAGTCCGACTGAATTTCAATGGTGTTTATTTCTCAGTAGACGCAAATGGGACTGCGCTGTACAAAATGTATTTAACTACTTCTATAAAATTGGGGAAAACATGAATTATACTTACTGAACATTTTTCATTTTGTGTATTTTATTTTTTCCCTCCTAGGATGAATAAAAGATACTTACAGAAAGCCACAAAAGGAAAACTGCTAATAATAATATTTGTTGTAACACTGTGGGGCAGAATAGCATCTGGGGCAAACCACCACAAAGGTAAGAAATTGCACTGTATGGTACAAATATGGCACCTATCTGCAAACTCCTTGCTTCAAGGTGATAACAGTTTAATGGTATTATTATTGTTATTTAAATCATGTGATTTTTCTTTGTTCATTGGCTCCTGTGGGTTGTTGTTTTTTGTCAATGTGTTGACAAATCAGTGTTAAGTAATGTTTTCTTTAAGTAATGTTGCCTTAGTTTCCTACTGTTGTGCCCTGAAATAATTTTATGTTAATCCTTTTTAATAACTTTCTTTTTTTAATCACCATAATTTTGTTTTTCTTATCTGAAGATGGTAAACTTGAAAAATTGAGCAAGCTTATAATAAAGCTGTTTCTTCCATAAAAAAACGTTCATCAAAGAGTACATAGAAATACTGTAAATGAGTTCATGAAATGAGCCTCGTAAAAAACCATCTTGAGTAACACGTGGGCTGCTGTAGCAGTCCAATTATCCATGCCAATGAACTCTGAAGAGACATTGTGTGCGTGCTGAATAGTCGTGTCTCCATTCTCAATAAGACCTCAGAGTGTTCTTCTCTGGTGTCTACAGAAATAGGGCTTCTCCCTTATTGCAGTGTACTCTTTCAGTTGTCACTATAGAATTATGCTTACAGTTCTGACAGCTTTTAGCATCTTGAAAGTAATACCCTTTTTTATTTTTACTTTTATGACTAGGAACTCTTCTCCAGGGAACAATATCCGTTGATTTATGGATTAATAGGAAACAGCTCTCTTGTTATACCTAATCAAAAACACCTTGAGATGCTAGTAATAGTTTTTGCTCTACAATACAGTCCTAAAGTTTATGTTTCATTTTGAGGCGCCTGTGTACATTCTCAGGATTCAAGCTTTGAAAATTTGGCTGTGGTTTAATTAAAGTTATGGAGAATGAAAGGGGAAGGGAAGATTTGGAATTAGTAAGGATTTAGCATCAGTAAGGACCAAAATAAGAAGAAAAAACCCCCATGGAAAATCCATAACCAGATCTCACGTTTCCTCCCCTTTAAAAGCAACTGCTGAAGTGTGGGGATAAATGTGGATAAAGGCTGCAGTACTGGGAAACGTTTTATGTTTTCTTCCACCCACCCCACATCAGTTTTCCTTATTTAATTAGCAGCTCTTGGAGCTACTGTTTGACCCACTGCAGAAAACATATATGGCGTCCGTATCGTGTCACTGCCTGCTTCCCAGCTCAGCAGATTAGAGGTGAAACCACACCAACCAATTTGAGAGAAGGATTTGATTGCTTGCATACGTACTGTATACATGCCCTTGGCTGGTGCACTCTCATACTCTGAACTTGACTTGTTGAACACATTTCAAATGAGTTGGCTACCATTGTAGGAAGACCTGCAAAGGAATAGGTACGTCTTCGATTTATTTGAAAAGCTGCAGTTGTGATTGAAAGTCAGAAGCCAACCCATGCACAGGTCAGTATGCATTATGTCTGCATACCATAATGTGACTGGCTCAGCACATAGCAGCATGACTGAAAGTCAGCAGTGGCTGACGAAAATCCATAGTTGCCACAGAATCAAACAGGTTGTAAGAAAAACAAGACTATGAAGAAATTATTCCTACAATCCTGCATTAAGACTTTAACACAGCCAAAACTATGGATTAAAGAAACCTCTGGCTTCCCTTAGGCTTCAAATACTTTCCATGGCAATGGTCAGCAACAGGCACCCAGTTGTCAGTCATGTGGGCCACTTATATTAATTTTTGCTATGTGCTTAAGGAAAGCAAAAGGCCTTATTTTACTTACAAGGCAGCCTCATGTTGTGATAAATACTATTATAATAGCATTGCTTCAGATACTGCTTTTCTGACCAAACCATGTTGGACTATACTGTTTTGTTAATAATGCTTGAGAACTTCACAACTATGCTGAGTGTCTACAATTTCTTAAAAGTATAAAATATATATTCTCTGTTACAGCTCTAACCACGTAATATATTATAGGGACTTACAAACTGAAGTTACAGCTGTTGGGGTGTGTGTGGCCATATTGTTGACTTGATAGCAGTTAATGTACATAGCTGCTATATAGCATCACAGCATCCAGCTGTCTTAACAATGCTTTTATCAGCAAGGATATTTAAAAAAATGCTCGTTTATGCTTATGTCCTTTTCTCATTTATGCACTACAGGGGCTGGAATTGGGGTTTGTAGCACTGCTGCTGTCTCTGGCCGCAGACCCTGCCTCTTGGCACACTGAGGGGAAAAAGGTCAGGGTAAACTGTGCAGTCCAGTATTGAACTCAGCAGCACCTGACACAGAGCTGAATTAATCATATTCATACTGAAAAATTGGAACAGTTTTATTGTGTTCCCTTGCATGGCTGCTGTTTCATTTCACCCAAAATGTCATTTCATCCAAAGCCCAAACCTAGAGTCTTCAAACAGCTGTCATCTCAAATGTGCAATAGTGATCTGCTGTCTGGTCTACATCACAGTGTTCCAATGGTGCCCTGCTGATTTCATCTTCTATATTCTCTCAGATTCTGTTATCTTTGCTCTTCGTATACCTGGCAGATGTTCTGGGGCTAGCCATGTAATTAAGTACCCAAAAGTTTCCTTATTTTCCTCAGTAGTCATCCCTTAGAAATGCAAAAGCAACCTTCAGCCTTGTCAATGCCTAATACTTGGACTTACTACTTTTTGTTTTTTCCCTGAAACTTTTACTGCTAATGGTTCCCATTTTCAGAATGCCTCAAAAGGAAATGTTTTCTGTTGCTGATTTACTTCTTGGCAATCGGAAGTTTTCAAAAAAATCGGCAAGATTGTCAGTTTCACTGAAGGTTGCTTCATAGCTCAGTTGGTTAGAATTTGGTGCCGATAACACCAAGGTTACAGGTTTGATCCTTGTTTGGGACAGCTGCATATTCCTGCATTTTGTAGGGGCTGCCTCCCAACTCTTATGATTCTTTGATTCTATTAGGCAGTTTGTGGGAAGGATCTGTCAGGCCTACCAAGGCTTTTTAGATCCGTCAGCTGAGGGTGAAGACTCAGAGTTGGATCCCTTCTGATCATAGCTGTCAACCTTCCCTTTTTTTGTGGGAAGTTCTCTTATTCCAGCGCCGTTTCCCGCTGCTTCCCACTGCTATCCCGGATTGTTAAATATCCTGTAGACTCTCCCCTGGACAGGTGAGGCTGCTGATCCCTTATTTTCTAGGCTGCTGATTCCTTATTTTCAAATCTGAAAGTTGACAGCTATGCTTCTGGAGATGCAGCAAAAAAGAACACCAGACATGTATGTATGTACGTCAATCAACACATGGCATGTCAAGATTGCCCACCTTGCTTGCTTTTCAGTCTGCCTACCTGCATTTTCTTTACTGGTGCTACTGCTATCTCCTCATTTGGTGTGAGAAAAATCCAGGGGGAGGGAGTGCTTCCTCTTGAAGCACGAAGAGAATGCATCTCTCTGAGTGAGTAGATTGTCATGAGACAAAGGTTCTTGAGAGCAGAAGCAGTAAGACCTACAAGGCCTACACAATCACTCAAGCCTACTAACTGTTAACAGCAAACTGCTAAGTCACTGTGACTCGCGACTCATCTTGAGTGATGACTCATTCTCCCTATAAAAGTAGCCAGCCTCTCGGTGGGCCTCAGTCTGTGTGTCTCAGCCAGTGTGTGTGTTGTGTTGTTGCAGACAGACTGGCTCCAGGACTAGTAAATCAGTAACTAAGACTGTGCCTCTGTGAGGCCTCTCAGATAGCTGCAATGAGACTCTGTGTATGCTCTTTAACTATGCTGTTTATGAACAACTTTGTTTTCTCAAGTAAATGTTTTATCCTGTTTATGAAGAAATTATGATTAATTTACTGCTGCATGACACAGATTGCCTGCTCTTTCCAACCACAAAAAGTAGCAGAGGGGTGGGTGGGTGGAAACCCATCCCATCTTACTTTGAAAGGTGGGGTGCCACATTTGGTGGTGGGGTGCTTTGTTAACTTTTGTTAGTTGGAGAGGGAGAAGAAAGTGGCTGTGGAAGGCAACAGGCAGGAAAGGCATTTGAATTGCTGGTAGGTCCATTTCTCTTTTCAGCCGAGAAGTCAAAACCACAAAGTGGCTACATAGCACACTAAGTCTTTTGCTTTCCACGTGCTGTTAGCAATGCCTATAGATGTGCTACTGCTTTTGTTTAAATGGTGCAATTTACGTTTAGGCACTGTAGGCAAGACACCACTCTTGTTGGCTATCAGGCTTACTTCAGAGAAGTAACCAGGACCACAGACTCAGCAGATGTGAATGGCCTGTTTGATTGTTGAGTAACAATATAATAATTAGCTCAAATAACAAACAACTGTTATGATGATCACGACAATAATGATTATGCATTCTCAGAGCCAAATCATGTTTCTAAAGGCAAACATAATAGTTGCAGGACATAAATCTTGCTAAAGATCATGAATGTCACTAAAACCAACAAATTTTTACCTCAGAATTCAAGCATTGGCTCCCTTCTGGCTTATAACTTCAGCCTAATAAGTATACAGTATTGACATTTAGGTCAGCCAGTATGTTTTCTGGTCCTATGTATGGCTTTCAAGGAAATACACACTTAAGGGTAGCTTGACTGGTGGCAAATGGGAGAGATAAAAAATAACCATAAATTTGCTCTTGACTATCAGCAATTCCCAAAGCGCTGTAGCATTTTCTCAGCACAGCTATTTGAGTGACTACAGACTTCTTTTCCTTTTTAAAAAAAGCATTGCTTCACAGTTGAAGGTTACAGCAGGCCTACTTTTAAATTACATCAAGGCTGTGATGCAGAGGAAACAAAGTTGAAGCTTGTGTCATTAGTGTTATAGTATTACAGTTAATCTTATACCCCATATGACCTTTTGGGTCTTGCCCTGTGTGAAGAAATGCATATTCTACCTACCCCACATTGACAGAATATGTATCTCCCACAGTGTGCATATACATCTCTTTCCTTGCATGAGACCTAGAAATGGAAGAAGAAAGTACAGATGTCTTGTGCTTT